ATAATAATAAAAATAATTTAGTCTAATTCATTTCACAATTAAAATTTTCTTTTTATAGTATTTTTCTTTATAAAATTTAAATTTAATTTTTTATTATAATATTTTTTTCTCACGTACATGAATGAACACCCTTTTTAATTTTGAGAGTTCTACTATAGAATCTGAAAAAATAATTTTAAATTTTTTGTATGTGTTTATTTTTCGACTCTTATATTGCATAAAAAAAATTATTTGTTTTGATTATTTTTTTATTTTAGTGTAATTTTAATAAGATTTGACTATTAAAAATGTACACTAGCTATAAAAGATCTTATTCTTCAGTGGGTTTTTTTATTGGTAAGATCAATTTTTTAACTATTGTATATGGTAAAATTATATTAAAATAAAATCTCTTTTAAACTATATAGTTTCTGATATAGTATATCGATAGTTTTTTTTTTTTTTTTTTTTTTTTTTTTTTTTTTTTTTTTTTAATTTTTTGTTTTTTTTTTTTTTTTTTTTTTTTTTTTTTTATATCTTACCGGGAAACTCCCTTTTAAACTTGTTTCTTGAACACTTTGATTCAGTTCTTCCATTGGGCATCTCCCCAACTTGGGTGCGGAGATAGATGATGTTGATGATGATGGTTTGTCTTTACTGTTGGCAAATTAGTGGCTCTCCCACTGGGTTCCACTTCCATTTTTGGCTCATAAACATTTTTTTAAATACAAACTCTTTTTTTTTTTTTTTTTTTTGATAATGTTTGTATTTCCCTGCCACTGTTTTGTGAGAGTAACTCGATTAATATCGTCGGATTACATTTCCGTCCGATTTCACACCATCTTTTTCTACACTTTGCCACATGAATGTCCTTGTATATTAACAAAACATGTAGAGGAAAATCAACATGCCAAACATTTTTATCCAATCGTATCGTATGATGTCATATAATAACATAAAATATATCATAATCCTTTCTATTATCTATTTGGGTTAGATTTCGTTACTTAATCTATGTTACACACGTGTTAACTCGAATCGACTAGTCTTGAAAACTATTAGCCAAGGAGACCATTCAGAAGGATTCGGCAGCCCAAGACAGTTAGAAGACAATCTAGATCCAATATCAGCTCATAACGACTTCAGTATCTGGAGTTGACTACAACTGCTCAGCAGAGCAGAGGAGTCGACTACTTCGAAGAATATTTCGAGAATCTTCCGAAGAACCTTCCGTTTCGAGATTTCGGGAAGCTACCAAATCGCACTAAAGGATGTCCAAACCTCAAAAAATATGGATTCTACAAAGAAAGTTGAACAAAGACACAATTAAAAAAGTCAACTCTACAAAGAAAAGGGAAACTAGGGTTAAATGAGCAATCAAAGTTTGCAGCTATAAAAAGAGGTCTTCCTTCAGCACAAAGGCAATTCCAAGACGTTCATTGAAGTGGGAAGATGCTCAAATACACCCCAATGCGTGCATCACCTTTGCAATAAGCCCTAAAGCCGTATTTTCTCTCTTTCTTCCATTATTGTCTCTTTCAAGCTCTTCCTAGCTCTATTGTACTATTTGTTTTCTATATAGTGCAAACAACAAACACTATGGATGTAGTCCTATCATTTGAAGTGACCACTATAAATTTCGGTGTCTCCGTTTATTTTTCGTATTTTACTTTATTGCTCGTCCGCTAGATTGACTTAGGCAAACAGATCAAAATATCTACCACTCTGCAAATTGGTCATTAACTCATTATACAAATTTACGGTTGAAAATTGACCTCCACATCGTCCCATAATATTGTATATATTAAGATATGTTTGAATTAAAAATGGTAGTATTGTGCACAACTCGTGCCAAATAGTCAAATGGCCTAATGAATTCTTGTGGTGACTTGTATGTTTCATTTTTACGTTAATTATTTGTGAAAGAATGAAGAAAAAAAAGTTTCTTTGTGAAAGACTGATGATAACCTTATATTAACACTATGAAGATAAACAATTATATGAAATTTCTCATGTGTGTAAATACATGTATATATATAATTTGGCAAATGGCCCAATGAATTTTTGCGGTAATTTGTGTGTTTCATGTTACGATATAAGTTAATTATCTGAAGATAACCCTACATTAACAGCATGAAGAAAAACAATCATATAAAATTTCTCATATATATCTAATATCCGCATATATATAAAGATAATAACAAAAAAAAAATCTCAAAATTTTTATTTCAAACTCCTCCTATGCTCAACACTTAGTCGTATGTTATATTATAAGAGTGGGACTTGAATCATTCATACAAATTTAGTGTCTAATCAATTATATTACATTGTATATTCTAAAAAAAAATTTTAAATGTACTTCTTTTATCATGCTTTTCCATTATTAAAATGTGATTTAGATTTATCGAAATTTCCTATCTCATAGTCATATTAAAAAAAAAAAAAAAAAAAAAAGGTGTCTGTGTGGGTGATGTAAGATCTGACCGTTGAATTTGTGGACTCCATGGAAAGTGAGTTGCACTACAGGGATTGTTTTGTTCAATTGGTGGCCTTGAATTCACTTTCCGTTATGGTGGTAACCCACCAATCAGAAAACGTTAAAGATGTTTTGATCAAACTTATGTCTCGGATTCGGGCCCCACTTCGTAGTTGGTACCTTCCGGTTTGAATTCTGAACACCAACCTTTTTTTGTGGGGATCGGAATTTGAGTTTTTTTTTTTTTTTTTTTTTAAAGGTGGAATTTTTATTTTTATTTTCTTTTATAATTTAATCAATGCCGTGATTGTTGGGATTAGTAGGGTCCCACAGAAGACCAAAAAAATCATTTGTTTTTTATTTCTAGGAATGATGATTGTTCATTCCAATCTCCTTCCAAGATTGTTTTTTTTTTTTTTCATTTAATTTTTTTAATATTATAAACAATGTTGCATTAGAAGTAACTTAGGACTTGAGTTCAAGGCAAAAAAAAAAAGAAAAACACTTAAGACTCGTTTAGTTTGCTGATTTAAATTTTTAATTTGAGTTGAGATGTGACTTTATATAAGAACTTTTTACTGTAATAAAAAAGTTAAATGTAACTATTTTTAAAAATTTTTTACTGTAATAAAACTTAAATTTTAAACTCAAACTAATGAAATAAACGGGGCAAAACAATGGATTTTTAAACCTCTTTTCTTTGCTTGCCCAGCCATGACATGCCTAAGTGGATTTGCAGTTTATATTGAATGGGCTTAGGCCCAAATGTATCAGTTACTACAAGGGCATTTATAAGCCCAACCAGCAATAGACTTCGCGTCGATCCCACAAAATGGGGTAAGGAAACCACGTGTCTGTTCTGTGATGGGCCGTTTTCAGGTTTATGACGGCTCTCCCCACTATTTAATGCTTTTTTTTTATAGGAAATTTAATGAAATTTTATTGATAACATAACACACTAATTAATGAAATTACTGCCTAAGTAATCACGCAGGCCTTAAATCCTGGTTGGCTATTAAAGGAAACGAAATGATGGAGATAAAAATGTGGAATAATTTATAACAGAATTGCAATTAATCCCATAATTACGTGGATTTATTTCTTCAACCTCGTTAATCGTTCTGTAACTTGCTCTAAATTAATTCTTTTGTTGGGTATGCATATATGATTTCGTGGTTCATTCATGCAATATTCATGGATATCCACACACATCCACAGTTTGGAAAATTTGAGGGAAAAAAATTTTGAGGTAATTTTTTTTTTTTTAGGGAAACAACTTTAGAAACGGACTATACTAAAATAAATAAATAAATCGGACTATAAAAATACTCTCTTTGTATATGTGTAATTCTGGGCCGTCATACAGTATTATAAAAACAAAATAAGTACGCAAAATTAACAGAATTTAATGAAAATATGATAATTCAAAACTGTTTACTATCAATAAGTTATTAGACAAATATTTGTCCTAAATTTTTTTTTTAATTATTTTACCCACCAAAAAGTTCTTTATCTTTTAAGCATAATGTCATCAAACGACAACGTGATATGTAGTGCATTGTGCAACAACATGAATGCTAATGTGTACATTCCATGGAATGCATGTTCATGGACGTGTTTTCATTTTGCCAATGTAATAATTAACATTAATTTGTATCCTCAGCCCCTATATTTGATTGGAAATCGTTCGCTAAATTCACATTAGAGCATTTAATTAGCAAGTTAATTCCACTCAGATTGTAACCCCCAAAGATGGGTACGTACACGAACTTGTAATCCAATCCAATGATCCATCTCCTTCGTTTCCCAATTTATACCCTCTCTACTCTCCATTACTAATTTCCATCTTCCAACCGAAAAAAAAAGGGGAAAATTTTCTCTCAATCTTCACTAATATTCCCAACTTAATCATGGACTACTATTCTGCCCAAATTAACTTGCCACAGATTGAAGATTACCCACTTGATTTTGACTGGCTATACTATGATCAACAACCATTTGAAAAGTAAGTTACTTAAATTAGACCATTTTTTTATCCTTTTTACGTGAATTTCTTAACAACCCATTTGTCTTTTTTTCTTTTTTATACTGTTCAAGATTCTGCTTCAAATTGTTGTGAAACAAATAATAAAAAAAAAAAAAAAAAGTGATTTTTTGTGTTAAGATATTTTTTGTGGGTTTTATCTTTTATGTTTGCAGCCTATTACTAGATTTTCCACCAGTTCAAAGTACTTTTCTTGAGCCCAATTTTCTACCATTGTGGTCACACAATTACGGTCACCAACTTCCTTGCATTGATTTCCAAGATTTTGAAGATTTTGGTGGCGTTTTTTCGCTTGAAATTGACAATGCTTTTACGCATCCTAATTGTGAAGATACCATAGTCGACGAAAAGCCTCAAACCAACTTGGTGACTTCTTTTCATCACTATAACCACCATGACATGATCAATATTCCCTCAAGTACTGACCAACTATGTTCTGAAGTTGTTCCAAAGATGATCATCGAAAGAAAGATAATTGGTAGCACAAAAAGTGGTAAAATTGGGAATTATGAGAAGTTTTCTGAGCTAGAATCAGAAGACATACAGAAGTACTTTGACCTTCCTATTAAGGAAGCGGCCAAGGAGTTAGGTGTGGGCGTGACAAGACTGAAGAAACGGTGCAGAGAGCTCAAAATCACTAGGTGGCCCCACAGAAAGTTCAAGAGCTTGAAGTACCTAATTAGCAACGTTAAGGTATGTACGTATTTGTGACTTTGAAAATTCATTTTTCTATATGTACGTAATAAGTGCGGATCTTGATGTTCTGGTTTGTAAAAAATTGTTATGTGATTCATTATGCAGAAAATGGGTTTGGATGGTAATGAGATTAGGATGTTGGAAGAGCACAAGAGGCTTCTAGAGGAAGTGCCTGACATGGAATTGACTGAGAAGACCAAGAAGCTGAGGCAAGCTTGTTTTAAAGCTAATTACAAGAACAAGAGGTCTCTTGCTCGAGTATAACTTCATATATTGTTCAAACGGCCATGCTAACTAGGAAGTAGTTTATGCTTATTTTTAGGATAGATCACATAGAATGATAAGATCAGTCAGGACCACATAAAATGACAAGATTAGTCAAAACCACATAGAATGACAAGATCAGTCAGGACCGCATATACAAATTTTTCATGGGACATTAGTGGTGTCCAACGTCGTATCTAATAGAAGGTGGGGTCCATACTATGAGACTCATTTTTTGATAGTATGCGGTGTTTAGACACCACTATGTCCCTCACATTGTTTTAATTTTATAGCTACTGTTTACACTTGCATATGGTTTCATATTTGCCAGTATGCCGAAAGAGACTAGAAACTAATGGAGATGTCATGTTAGTACTGTTTTGAAATTAATATCTAATTTATAAATTTAGCTAATGTAAATCATCTCGTTTGTTGCTCAGTTAGTTTTTCTAAGCACTTTTATTTTTTACTTTCCAATCCTTCAATATGCATATATTCATGTTTCCTATTCCACCATACTAAACTCAGTGCATAAAAACTTGTTAATACCTCTTTTCAGTACTGATAATTCTGACTAGATACAGTTTCAAATATTCAGGCTTAATGAACTATGTATCTTTCAAAGACCAGGGCATATGGAATTATTGTTGACTAGACTACGGCCGTGTTTGGAATTGATCCCGTTTTTCGAGAAAGAAAAAATAAAAACGTTTCTAAAACGACGTTTGGCGCAATAAAGGCAAAAAGCAGAAATAAAAACGATTTTTTGGTTTAGTTTAAATGTGAGAGAAATGAATCGTTTTTCATTTTTTGTTTTCGTTTTCTCTTCTCTCGAGCCGAAAAAGAGAGAGAGACATTAATGAATTTTTTTATACTGAAAACAATCTTTTAATAAAACTACCAAACGCATTTTCAAAAATGTTTTCTGTCTGTGATTGAAAACGTTTTCATTTTCATTTCATACAAAAAATAAAATCATTTTATAACGAGTTCCAAATGCGCCCTCAATAATTTCGGGGAAAAAAAAAATGTAACGAATAAAAAACAATAAAGTAGTCTAGAATCTCTATCTTTGTGCATGTGCATATATCTCCATTTATTAGAAAGGGACCGAAGTAGTTAAGTTATACATACATAGCCTTGTAACATCGATAGACTAATTATATTAATATGGTGGTCCCCGCCGCAAATATATATAATGCAAAAGCCGTTGATTTTGAGTGACATACATATTTTGATTGATCATATATATATATATATATATTTTTTAAATTGATCTCTGATCACTATACATAATTAGAATATTAATTGATTTCCAATTCCAGCTATATAATTATAATATACATGATCAGGAAAAGAAAACAGAAAATCCAACAACTAGCGGAAAGATGGAGCAGAACAAGTCAATGACAGCACGATCAAGTTGATCGATCGAGCAGGGGCATAATTGACACATTATGAGTCCATTTTTCTTTGTTTTTCCTGCTTGCGTCTCCAACTCCAAGGGACCACTTGCTTAAAGCTTTCATAAATGCCTACCTGCACTTGCGATAAAGATTGCTTATATATATACATATAAATTAGATCGTATAATATCTGATCGTGCACAAAGAGAAATATATTTAAATTAGCGCCAAAAAAGCATATTATATATTAGAGAAACCGCATGCCTTTAAATGAAAAAAAAAAAAAAAATTGCAAAATAATCCATTCATTAAAGAAAAGAAACCTCTGTTTTTTTTTCTTTCGGCACTCGTCTTGTTGAGACTAAAGTACTTATAAATGCGGCATAACATGAAGACTAATTATGCAGTATTGATGTGCACAACATGTGAACTTTTGGAATACAATATTATAAAGGATCAGTTATATATATATATATATATATAAAATACTAATGATAAAATCATATACGCATGTATACACACACATGCAATAATGTTAGTAATTCGTCCTTTTTACTCCAAAATTGGTAATCGTAGAATCAGGATATAGACCTATGTATACGAACGATTTGAAGTTTGGAAGCAAAATAAGAAATAAAGAAAAATGCCTGAAATAGTTAGGTCCCATTCATTTCACAAATTTGAGTTTTGTTATAATAAAAAGCTTTCAGAAATAATCACATTTAATTTTTTTATTACAGTAAAAATCTCTCATATAAAATCTCATCTCAATTCAAATCAACGAACTAAATGACCCTTAGTACATACATACATAAACACTAGTCTATAACTTTAGAACGTCCAATCACAATCTCCTAATTTCTCTGTTGTTTTTTTCTTGCTTTTTTCGCCCTTTTTCTTATTAATTTGTTCATCACTATTATGGTAAATAAAAAAAAAAAAAACCAAAACAGGCATGAAATACTTGTGATCAAAATCATAAAACATGAACATGATACGAGTGCTTTTGACCATTCAGTAATCAAAATATAACTTAGTAGTGATCCAAACTTCTTCTTGTTCATGCATAATTATTAATCAGCTTTTCATAATTAGCATATAAGAATTTTCATATCGCAAAAAAGAAAAAAGAAAAAAAAAAGATTATGTTTAGAATTAATTTCATTTTTATTTTTCACGTATTTTGAGAAAAAAAATAAAAATATTCTCAAAACGGTGTTCGACAATAATGATAAAAAACGGAAATATCATTTTTTGTTTTCATTTTCTCCTCTCTCGAGCAGAGAGAGAAAGAGAAACATTAATAGATTTTTTACACTGAAAATAATCTCTTGATAAAATCACTAAACACATTTTTAAAAATAATTTTTGTCTGAGATTAAAAATGTTTTTATTTTTATTTTTATACAAAAAAATAAAATTATTACATACCAACAAATGAGACGACGACTTTGTGTGGGAGAGACTCAAAAAGCTGCTCCTCCTTCTAACCCTTGCGAGCTTCACCTTCCCATGATCACCATCACCGCCGCCGAAAACGACACCGTTTACTTCACCGCCACCATCGTCGACCCTCGAAGACGAAAAGTCGAAACTAGCCCCGAGAACTCCTTTGCTCTTCCTGAAACTCCCCCACCTCGCTGACCCAAAATAGCCATTTCTCTCCGATCTCGCCACCTTCCTGCTTAAACTCTCTGGGCTTCTGAACGAGAACGACAGCGAGCGACCCACGTCGGGCCCGTCAAGGACCGTCGTCGGAGAGGGCATGTTGGTAAATTTGACCTCCGCTAACAACCTCGGAGGCAACCCCAAGGACTTTGTAGTAATTTCCTCCGCAGGCTCGGTTGCGTAAGTAGTGCACCGCCTAGGCTTGCCCGGCGCTTCTTCCCACAGGAACGGGACTGAAGCTGAGGTTCGGAGCGGCGGAGACATCCAACCTAGAGGCTCGGGTGTTTGTCTCGGAAGTGAGAAGAGAGAGAGCTTCGGTATATCATCGGCGATCACTTCCATTGCTTGCTGATCAGATTCAGACACCATTTTTTTCAACTATATATGTATATATATTATATATATGTATGTATGTATATAAGAAAAAAACAAACGGAAGCTACATAAGTTTTTATAGAGAGACAAATGTGTTTCAGTTTCTAGAGAGGGAGAGAGAGAGAGAGAGAGCAGGGAATGGGAGTGGGTGGTGTTGAATGTGATTTGTGACTAGAAGAGAGTCATAGCAAACGTACGCTCCTGGCGCTTCTTCTTCACGAGAATATGACCAGTTTCATTTTTGGGTTATTTTTAAACCTAACATTTTAGAAGCTATATCTTTAGTTTTTAATTATTACATATATTACCATCAACTTAAATTTAATAGGCGAATTTATACATTTTCAGGAGTTTTTGATATTTAAAATTACAAAATTAACCTTAGTGGTAGTGATATTGTTGATACTAGAATTTCTCACACATCGATGGCCCACCGGTGAAGTATTGTCCCCACTTGGGCCCGCCGTGACAGGTGGGGTTTTGTCCCTTCGTAAAAGGCGCCTCGCTGGTAGGAGGGGTTGGCACTCTGGTACATATACCTCTCCAGACCCCGTCTCCAACCGATGTGGGATTCTTGGTGTACAACAGTGCCCCCCGAGACGGGGGACTGGGGAGGCAGGCCGTGGCCAAACGTCCCCAGTAGAGTCGCCAACTGTTGATACCAGAATTTCTCACACACCGATGACCCACCGGCGAAGTATTGTCCCCACTTGGGCCCGCCGTGACAGGTGGGGTTTTGTCCCTTCGTAAAAGGCGCCTCGCTGGTAGGAGGGGTTGACACTCTGATACATATACCTCTCCAGACCCCGTCTCCAACCAATCCAATGTGGGACTCTTGGTGTACAATAGATATGATGTCATTCATTTGCAGGCAGGCATTAAAAAAAAAAAAAAAAACTAAGGGTCATCATTAATAAGGTTGATTTATAAACTTTATAGAAGTTGTAGTTTTGCATTTTATACATTTGCGTATAGGTTTTTAATAAACCGATTATACATAGTGCAAAAAGTTAATATATATATATATTTTTTCTTTTTGGCGGGGGGAATTGGATGGTGCAGAGTTAACGACCATCAACGGTCATATGCGGGTGGGGTCCATTTGAAATGTAAGACAGATCACCAGTCTTTTTTAATTCGCATGCCCACAAGCAATATTAGAAATGTTTTTGAGAAGAGGCAGTTAGGTTCAGGAGTGCCTACAACATGCCAATTGGTGTTATAAAACATGAATTCAGTTTGTTGCATCATGAGAGTTTTATTTTTTGCATTTCCTTAATCATCAAAATTATTCTGGCGCATATACATTAAAAAAAGTTAATTAGTATTATTAGTTCATGTAGCAGCCAAAACGAAATACTCATTTGTTATTTTAAAAGTAAATACCTAGTTGCTTTGTTGACAGCTCTGAAATAGGAGGATAATGCAGTGTTTAAGGCATAAAAAGGATTTTAGTTAGAACTTTAAAGGTGCGTTTGGTATTCGTTTCAAAATAATTTTATTTTTTTATATGAAAATAGAAATGAAAACGTTTTCAATCTCAGACAGAAATCATTTTTGAAAATGCGTTTAGTCGTTTTATCAAGAGATTATTTTCAGTATAAAAAAACACATTAATGTCCCCCTATCTCTCTCTCTCTGCTCGTGAGAAGAGAAAACGAAAACAAAAAATAAAAAACGACTAAAAGTCATTTTTTATTTATTTCTCATTTTACACTAAATCAAAAAATCATTTTCATTTCCGTTTTTTATCATTACTTATGTTAAACGCCGTTTTGAAATCGTTTTTATTTCTTCTTTCTCGAAAAACGTGAAAAATAAAAATAAGAACAATTCCAAACACGACATAAAATTCCTTGAAAGAACATGTGTGTGTATTGCTAAGGAAGAAAACACCTGACAGGAAAAAGATATTAGGGATCATGTAGGAACAGGATTAGAGTTGCATCTGTTTTCATCTTGCTACTAATTATAATTGCAACTCCCTTTTTACATATTCTCTCCAATTTGATCACATCCATTTTCAGCCTTTTGGTTTACCTGTGATTCAATTGGGGGACTTTTACGGTGGGGTAGCTCTTGGCTCGAATTGAATTATTTGAAAACCAAACGTCCCGTGCGGAATATTTATATTAGTATTGTCCAAAAAATTAGCGTTTAATTGGTGGATTCGTGTCATGATTCGAATCGTGATTTGTAGTTCGTTATAATATTTTTTTTAACAAAAAATACACGTAAATCAAGAATGATTATGAATCTATGAACTAAAATTCACTTAAATGAGGTCTAACCTCATATTATGAACGCCGCTTTATTTGAAATGCGCAAATTTGAAAATATGGTTTGACTCGCGACAATTACTTACTTGAATTAAGAAGATTTTCGTATACGCAATATGTGTATGATGAAACGCCTCAACCGCGGAAATTCCCTTCAATTAGAAGCAATAAAAGGGTTGTTTTGTAAATTTTAGTTTCCACCGACACTTGCTACAATTTCACAGGTTTTTGGAAAAGACTATGAACACTGTTCTAATTGAATCGTGAGTCGTGACATGTCCCCCGGAAGTTTCTTAAAAATGAAGTTTCTGATGTTAATAGTCACATTCACAGTCCTCAAGTTTTGACATTTCTTCAGTTTTCTGAGGGACATTTGTCAACCTCAAAATCTCTTACTATTAGACTATATCCGCATTTGTTGGAAAATATTAAATACCAAAAAAAAAAAAAAAAAAAGACGGGCTGTAATAAAGACATTCTTAAAGAGTTATTGGGCCACTTGAATACTTGATAATGTCCCTTGATTTGCCTTGTTAGCCTATTTGTGTGCTTCTCATTACTTAAATTCCATGTGTAGTGGAACATCAGGATGTAGGACTTACCCTTTTTTTCAAGCAAGGAAAGCAAAATAATGCACCCAAAAAAAAAAAAAAAAAAAAAAAATCTTCCAACTAGTATCTTCTCCATTAGCTTCTTTCCTCTGTCTTCAATTATGTTTCCTCTTTTTTGTTTTCGATTAATTTATGTTTGTTTTTATTTGTTTAATGCTTTTGTCCTCATAAAAAGCTCAGTGACAGAGGAAACCATCTGGCCAGTGGGACACTTGCCGTTTGGAAACATTTGAAGTGACCAATCTCCTAGTAAGAGTGATGAATGAATGGTGATCATGATCATCAATCACGATTGATGAAAATTATTAATTATTTAGAAACACGTACGTGATATGCATGTTGATGACAAAATTTAAAAATAATTAATAATTAAGATCAGAAAAAAAAAAATTTTGAGGCTTAAATCCTTTTTTTTTATTTTTTAAAATACTGTTATACATATGTTTATGCATATGTGGGAAATTCAGAGTTGCAGCAGAGAAAGAGAAGGCTCAAAATGTCCTTCTCAGAAAGTTTTAAATGCTAGAATCATAACACAACTACCTTGATAGAAAGATGTAGCAGAAAGAGGGAACGCCTGAAGATTAACCATTCAAGATATCTGCCACTCATTATTATCTCCACCTATCTGAATAAGTTCACGCACATGCCTAAATAAAGAACATATACATGTATATATATATACATATTGATATGAATGTGTGACTGTTGATTTTTCTCTTTTCTTGGCCACAAACCAGCCGAAGTTTGGGTCTTTTGCTTCCACACACACATATATATACACATATACATATATGTGTGTGTGTGTGTATTTATATATCTAAACTCCTGAACTACTACCATGTTTACAGAATTTAATGCGAAACCCATAAATATAGAGGCAATGGCACCTTGAGTTCCACAAACTTTTGGCTTTTACAATTACCACTAACTACATCTATCTATTTTTCTATCATATGGCGTTTTCTGATCGAGTATTCGTACTCTATGGTTAAGGCCAAAGATAAGAAATTACAAACCTGAGGGATTTTTTTTTTTTTTTTTTTTTTTTCAGTCTAACTGAAAGTTGTGAATTCCAAAACTTTTAGAACAAACAAATGCGGAATTATATACAAGTTTTTCAAAGATTTGGAGACGTTAGTTCATGGATCAGAATCATATGATTAGAACTATTTTTGATTTACGTGTATTTTTTGTGAGAGAAAATACTGTAACGAACTATGAATCATGATTCAAATCAAGGAATGAATCTCCTAACCAAACAACCCCTTATTTTCTTAGGAAATAGACAAGAAAAAGAAGTGAGAAATTCTTTTGAATAAACTACGTATAAAACAATCAACACATGCTCATGAATCTAAATTCCATATCGCTGGAAGGATTGTCAAAAGACAAAGATTACAGACAAACACATCGAAGTGCGCACAAATTTTTTTTTTTTATGAATACAGCATTAAGTGATGCTTGTCCCCACTTCAGTATTTTTGGTACCTACTTGAATAAGATTTATATTCCCTTTACGTGAAGAAAAATTAAATAAAAAATCTTGAAAGAAATTGATACTTTGAAGGAAGCTACTTTATGCCGACGGCCAGTATCACGGCGATATTGCAACTGATGTTTAGACCACCTAGACTTTTATTTAGGAAGAGTATTATAATATGAACTGACATATAACCAATTTCACAGCTGCTAATCAATTATATGCATTTTATCTTTCTGGAATTGACTTTGAAAATAACCTAAGTGAATGAGACTCATGACCAGAAAGTAACCGTATGTAATATATATATATATATATATATATACTGCTTTTGAAATGAATTTTGTTTCTATTTTTTTACTAATAAGCTCTTGCTCATTTTGAAATAGGAGCTACATGTCGTTTCATATTTGACGGCAGGAAATTCTTAAATTCAAAACTAAATGTCGTATGGACATTATGACGGCGCATATTGGCGATTACCGGAAAGACCAAAAGTCCAAAACAACGACATGCCGCAGAAAACAAAAGGCAGGAACATTTTCAATTCAAATGACAAGCCCAAGCTCTTTGTAGTTATTGCCTAAAGCAACAAAAAAACAAGCTTTTGGACCACAAAGATATGCCATTTCGACGACAGCGAACTTTTCTATGAGTTAAACGACGTGTCATCACGTAATTTATGCACGTGAAGAACAAAATGTCTATTTTGCACAGAAACGACAGCAAACTTTCAGTCATAAACCGATATGTCGTTTTATGACAAAAAAAATAGTATTTCTCCTACCATTGAGGAGACGTTTGATTCATGAATTAAAATCATGTGATTAGAATCATTTTTAATTTATGTGTATTTTTTGTGAGAGAAAATACTGTAGCGAACCATGAACTATGATTCAAATCATAGTTTGAATCCTCCAACAAAATATCCTTTGAATCATGTGGCAGCAGGAAAGAAAAAGAATATACTGCGTTAGGATTATGTGTACAGTTTTGCCTATACAAATTTTAAGTAGATAAAATCAGTCAACAAAGAAACTATGATCACAAAACACCATTACAATGGGCGCTTATTTATTTATTTATTTATTCACTACCTCTTTAAGCGTATCATGCCTTCACAAGCCAATGTCCCCCCAAGATCTCCAATAACTCGTGCTATTCTAACTTCTATACCTCTCTGAACGTCATGGAAGAGAGTTCTAACACTCTCCGAAAAGCGGTTCATGTCGAATCCAGTCGACTTGTCGATCTCCTCCCCAACCCCAACAAGACCAGAAGTGATCTTGGATTGGATTTCTATCATTTTCTGTCCTGTTGCAACTATATATCTCTGCAGCTGAAATGTCTCCTCAAGGAACTGCTCCAGTGTTTTGGTCTTCTCTTTTGTTCTCGCCGTGCTCGAATCTCCACGACATAGTTTTAGATCACTCTCGTGCTGCAAAGTTTTTCATGAATCAGAAACTCATAATCAAATTAAACATCATGTTAACTCCAGTATCAAAATGAAACCGAAAGTTCCTAAAGCCATAAAATTAAAGTGTTGAGTGCATAAATAGCAAAAAATTTTGGTTCCCTTCTTAGAAAACATCTTTATGTATATTTTTCAAGGTACCAACCATCGATTTAGTCCAGTTTTCCATTGATTAGTGAACATAAAACCTATAAAAACAATTACCTATACTTTTCAAATAGAAGTGTCTCCCATAAAACAAATGAAATCTAAAAGCATTAAATTAAGAAATAGGCAATTGAGAATGTTATGACTCAGAAAAATCAGTGAATATTTTGTGATCCGAGCTTACCATCCGTATGCAAAGATCATCAACCTTCCCCTGGAGAGATTGGTACCTGCCAATTTGTTTATTCAGTAAGGACATTAAAGATAAAAAGTCTTTTACACCACTTTCTCTTTCTTCTCCATCATCATTTCTTTCCTTTTTATCTTCACCACTTTCTTGCTTTCCTCTCAACCTTTCAAGCATAATGAGCTGTTGCTTGAGCCTCTTGAGCTTGTAGGAGACTCCGAGAGCATGAAGATCCATCCGCCATTGTGAACTATTCGCCTTAATCAAGTGTTGTTGTGTAGGACAAGGTGATGATAATGTTGATGACGATGACGATGATAACTTTTCGGTTACATCTAACTCCAATGGACTTGACCTTCCCTCTTCGGAAGGGTCGTCTTTCTGCTCATCAAAATCTTTGTCCGGAGATTGTACTGTCAAGGTTACATCTCTGCCTCTGGCCTGGTCAATGGATGGGAGTTCCTCATCTCTCTTGTTACCGTCTTCGTCTTGAGACATTTCGACCGAGATTGTCTTTGTTTCTTGCTCTTCCTCTCCTGGCTGCCTCTTGATGACCTTGACTTGTGCCCAAATGGAATCTTGTGTCACTGCTGAATCACTAGCATTCAAGTTGCTCTTTTGGGAGCTTATAGACCTTAAATGCGACGCGAACTGCTCTTTCAATGCAGTTAACTCTGCTTCCCTCTCCAACAATAGTGCCTCCATTTTCATGTTTTTGTGCCTGAGCTGTAGGAGTTCTTTGTTCAGTCCCTCAACATGGGACTGCAGTCGTTTTGATTCGAGTTCCATGCTTAGCAACCGCCAACGGAACGCTTCTAATTTCTCGTCTTTTAGCCTCAATTGTTCCACAAAAGCATCTATTTCTAGGTGATGCCTCTGTTCAATCACGGCTGCATACCTCTCTGCCTCCGAGCAAACCCAATTCTCAACCTGTTTAACATCAGCTAACATAAACAAAAGCAAGACCAAGAGACAGATGGAAACACAATTAGAACATGAGACCCTATAAAATCAAAAGTATAAAAATCTGAAGTGGTAATGAAAAGTCCGTTCTTACCTATGTCCTCGTTTGCACGAAGCGAGTAGATGTCAAAAGGGGAAGAAAAAACTTCAGGATCATTTTCGAACTCAGGGTGATGCTCATATCCAAGAAGAGCAGTTCTTGGATGTGATTTCGTAAGGCCAGCATGTGAAAGAGATGGGCCTGTTTGTGTGGAATGCAAGTCTTTTTCAGCTGAAACAATCTCCAATCTAGAGTTGGCTTGTTTTGCCAACATATTTCTCAGTGAATGCCTCTCCTGCCTAGACTCAGACACCGCCTTCCACCTTTCGGTTTCTAGCTCAGCTTGCTTCCTCTTAGCCTTTGATAACTTAACCTCCTTCAAAAGCATTTGCTTCTCTGTTGTGTCCAACTTGGATTTCCTCAGTGTTGCTGATAAAATCTTGTCTTTCTGCTCCAAATCCTCGTGCATCTTCACAATCTCCGCCGTTAGCTTTTGGACCATCACAACAGATTCTTCCTTCTGCTTCAAAACAGATTCAAGCTCCCACTTTTTGGCTTCAACTTGCCTCAGTGCTCTACTCATATCAGCCTCAAGATGTCGTTGGTTCGACACAAGCTCAATGAAGGCAGTTTTGTGCTTCCGAAGATCAGACGAGTGCTCTTGAGATTCGCGCTTCGCCTTTTCCCTCAATTCTTCTGCAGCATTCTCAGCCTCTTTTAGTTTTTCTTCTAGTTCTTTCCTCTTCTCACCTTCTTCCTCCAAAGCCTTCTCCCTTTCTTGTACCAAAAGCTCCATCTCCTTCATTTTATTGCTCATTTCGGAAACTACTTGGTCCTTTCTTCTCTCTTGAGCCCTCAACTCACTCATAAGGGCTCCTATATGCTGCCTAAGTTTCTTCCTTTCAATCAACCAGCTTTGTTCCTGTGCTGCAAAGATGCTCACAACCTTCTCATTCGCTTTGGCATCTTCACGCCTTATTCTCTTCAACTCCGCGACCTCTCTCTCGGCATTTTTCCCCACCACAAAGTCCCTCTCTTTGAACTCTCCATACAAGCAACCCCAGTAGCTGCGCACTTCCTTGAAGCATTTTCTCTCTTATGTCTGACCATCTCTCGTTTCCGACATCATGCGGTAATGACAAGAGACGAACAGCAAAGAATGCACAAGAAACACCAAAATACATGGGATACAATCTACTGTCAATCTTATCTTCAGAGGCAAAAGAGTTTGAATTTGTGACCGCCTTCTCATCCATTTACCCAGCAAGTTTTCTTCTACTTGTTGAAAAAACAAACGGGAAAAATCAATTGGGCAATTCAGAGTTAGGATATCTTTTAACAGAAAAAAACTAAAATTCTAATGCATGAATGTGTTCACAAAGAGGGAAATAATTGGAATGTAAAGACATAAACTTAGCACTAAATGCTGTACCAGAATCCAGAACACCCAGAACCAGAAGCATTTAATTCTAAGATCTCCAACCTCATCTTCTCATACAGATTAAAACTTTTTTTGCAGAACTTACATGGGATTTATTATTTCTTGAGTTTGGAACCAGAAAAGCCTCTTGGGGAAGAAATTTTTTTGCAGTTCAGAAGAAGCAGCTTTTCCTGAAGAGATCCTACTTCCTAAGGCATTAGGTTAGCCAGACCCAACTGCAAAAAAGAGTTGGAGTCTATAAGTCTATATGTCAACATGGGAGTTTTCACATATAAATTGCCAGAGAAAGCCAAAAGCCAAAAGCCAAAAGCAATGGCGTCTACACGTGTGTGACTCCAGAATCCGTTAAAAAGCTCTGTACTTTAACAGGATAGAATTAGCAGAAAGAAATAGACTTTTTTTTTGGAAAAAAAAAAAAGTTAAAAAGGGTTGTTCCCTGGTTTTCAGTGAAAAAAAAATAGACCCCAAAAACCCCACTTGCTCTTCCTTTCCTTTACTCACTCAAATGTCATGACTGCTATAGGAAGCAAAAACTCTAGATTCCTGGCTGTTTTGTCACCATTACTGATGAGAAAAGTGAAGTTGATGCGAAAAAGAAAATTATTTATCAATTATCAATCAAATATTCCTCATGAATACATTACTTTTTCCCAGAGTGGCTTACCTGTACCAAATAAAAAAATCTTATTAAACTATCATGAAAAGTACCACCAAAAGACTACAAACATAAAGTGCTTTTCAATATCAGTGAAGGGTATCTCTCGTTTTCTTGTTCTTCACTAAAACCAAAAGGAAAAACAGATATTTTTCTTTTCGTGCAATCTTGATTAACCATTTTAGACCCTTGCATCCCATACTTTAGTTTCTTGGATGGCATCAAAATATCAAATATGAAACAAATAATAATCACAATAACTTAAAACTTGGACCACATTATCATATATATCTGTATGTATATGTATATGTTTATATATATGTGCAATTGTAGCTTTTAAGGCACCTAGATTTGCAACCAAAATATGGGTCAGAAATAATTGCATCCCTACTACTAAAAACCATTGTCTAATTGACCTCATTAACAGTCAAGTACCTACCAACAAACAACTTTTTTTTTTTTTAACTATGTAACTAAATACCTCTCTGAATATAATAAAACATGGAATGTATTACAAATGTTATATTAATTGAAATGCATGTACCTGCCAAAACGGCTACAATTGAGGAGTATCTTGTGTAAATAATGATAAGAACAAGGAATGAAGAAAATGGTCTTGAATTTCTGAATCATCATGATCATGATGTGAACACCTAAGAAACCAGGTCTTCATGCTCAAAGTTGCTTCCTTGGATGAGACCTTGCAATACTGTAAAGTGGGAACTTGTTCAACAGAAAGGCTATATATACAAAGTTACAAACACATAAGGATAAAAAAAAACAAAAAAAAAGGAAAAGAAAAAGGTAATTAAGGTAAATAATTTTCAGATAAAAGTATTGTAATTTGCAAAGACAAGCCAACAAACCACCCACATATTAGCTTTTAACTTTCAAGATCTGCCCTTTGAATCTGGACTTTGTGATGCTTGATTCATTCATTATAGTATAAGAAATATCTCTCATTTTCTTTCTCTGTGTTTATCTCTCTACTGTCATGTGTTTGTGTACTATTTCTGGAATAAATAAATGCGAGGAAATGAGGAAGGAAAACAAACTAAAGGGTCACAATCAAGTGAGGCCAATGTGGACGCAACCCATGTTCTTCAGCATGAAATTAGAGGAGAAAAAAGTGGACTTTCATGTGGACCCCACAAGAAATAATAATATATTTCCTTGTTATTGAGCCTGTTTGTATTATGCCCGTTCCTCCCAATCCCAATCTCCATAAACCAGGAATGAATGCCATGAAATTCAGTTATATGTAGTGATTAAAAATTTCCATGCACAAAAGTCTCAAATATTGTGTGTACAATGTGCCTTTGCCAAAAAATAAAAATAAATAAATAAATGAGCGAGCTCTTCTGAGTCTGTGACTCGACTCACTGGAATCTGAAAATGTGGGTCACAATTTTTTTTTTTTTTTTTTTTTTTTTTTTTTTTTTTTTTTTTTTTTGTTTTTTTTAAAATTCCTTTAAAATTGTGTGTACAATGTGCCTTTGCCAAAAAATAAAAATAAATAAATAAATGAGCGAGCTCTTCTGAGTCTGTGACTCGACTCACTGGAATCTGAAAATGTGGGTCACAATTTTTTTTTTTTTTTTTTTTTTTTTTTTTTTTTTTTTTTGCAGGCTGTTCTGAAAGTTACACTTAAATAAGCCCCAATTCTTCATTTTTGCCTTCTTGCAATTTCCCTTTTGCTTCTTTAGTTTCCAAAGTTTTTCACTTGTTCAAGCCTTTTCTTCAATGAGTTTCTCAAAAGAAAGTGAGCGTGAACAAATAATTGAGGAGGGTTAAATAGTAAACGCCAATGCACAACGTGGCAAACTTGTACAACGTACTTATTGAATTATTGACCAAAATAAAGAGCAAACAGTGAGAAAAAACTGTCGAAATCATAAAGGAAGAATATAAAAAAAAGCTCGGTTGGTACTTAAGAACATCTCATTTTCTAGCATACCCCACTCATTAAATATGATGTTATCTTATTCAAAGTAGTAGTTAAACCAAGTTGCATGAAAACCTTGCATAGATTTCGTTGGTTAATTACCGAAAATAAAGGAGACAATAATTTATACAAATATTACCCGGCACGTTTGGTACAACGTATAAGCACTCTATTGTATATTGTATTGTTTGATAATAATACAATATTTAGTGACATTTATACAATATATAATGCAAGATTCAAAATTAATATAATAAAAGTGTGATATCTAATACGAGAAAAAAAAATCCATATATTATACTATATTATGTAATTTAACTTAAAATATCATATTAAAAGTATATAAAATATTTCACTAATATCAAGACTTGGAGTTGAGTTTTGGAACCGACATTGGGATCGAGTTTTGAGATTGGGTTTATTTTTATGAAAAAATTATATTTTTGACCCCTAAATTTTTTAAAAATTATATTTTGACCCCAAATTTTTTAAAAATTATGTTTTGACCCCTCAATTTTTTAAAATTATATTTTGACGGCTTAACTTTTAAAAAATTATATTTTTGCCCCTTAACTTTTTAAAATTACAATTTGACCTCATTTTTCAAAAAAAAATTTGTAAAAAGACCCCTTTATAGCAACTCTACTTCATTCCTTACTTTCTCCAAATGTTAGGTTCGGATCGAGATTAGAGTCGAATTAGATTATGATTATACCTAAATTTTATCTTGTTACAAACTAATATATAAATAAATTACAATAATAAAAATAATATAATATTTAATAATACCACAAACCAAATACCGTATTATATAAAAATTATACAATACAATATATATGCACTTACTCTGTTTAATTATGGGGTTTCAGCTGGCCTATTTAAAGTAAATGACCCCACTTTTTATACATTAGCTATATAGCAGGTTTAAATTTTAAATTACATAAATTCAAAGAAAATGATAATGTGAGGAGTCGGTAAAGAGATAATAGAGGAGAATAAAAAATCGTGACAGGGGAGAGAGTTAAATCTAAAGTATCCCTAATAATTATCAGTTTTTAAATTTACGACCATTTTCTGAAAAACTGAAAACAACGGACATTAATTTAATTGGGTAGCCAAAATTGGCCACTCCATGCAATTCCCCTTATATATTATATTATTAATTGTTTATTTGGTAAAAGTAAAACTTTTATGAATATTTGTTACTTCTGTTGAGGGGATTCAGGAATGGTAATTTAAAAGTACTCGACAAAATTTAAATTAAAATGAACCAAATCGTTAATTATTTTTAAATTATTAATTAGTTTGGTTGATTTTTTAATCAAATTTTTTTGAGCGGTTTGTGGTTTGGACTCCTTAAACCACATAAATCGCCCAATAATCCGTCAAAAAATATACATATATAATTCTTAAATATTTTTATATTTATTTTAACTTTTATTAGTTATAATAAAGATTTTATACTTATAAAATACACCATATCATATTTTTGTTGGTTTGTATCGCGACTTTAAATAGTGAACTGTTAGACACTTGCTATTTTTAAGTTATATTGTAAACTTTAATTTTAATTTTAATTTTATTAATTAACGATTTATAATTTCTATGTATTATTGAAAACATTTTTAGTCTTAAAACTTAAACCACCCAAACCGCTTATAAGTAATTTGATTCAATTTGGTTTTTATCAAAAATATCAAACTGCTCAAAAGAAAAATTATTTTTAGTTTGGTTAGTGATTTCTAAGAAAACCACCCAAATCGATCGCGAACACCTCTAATAAAAAAAAAGATAATCTTAACAAATATCATTTAAAAATACATAAGTCAATATTTTTATCTTTTACTCTTAATTCATAATTTTTTTAATTAAATAATAATAAAATATTTATTAAAAATAAAAAATAAAAGTTCAGATACATACACAACACAGAGAAAGCTCCTAAACGAACTCCACGGATTATTGAAACATGCGACAGACTAGGTGGCATTGTGGCAACATGCCCGCCTTTCAATTTCATCGTAGAAAGTCCAAGGATGATCAAACCTTGGTATAGCACAAAAGATAGTTAATTATTAATCATAAATAAATAAATGTTGGCCAATTTGAGAAAAATAACGAATTTTAAAGGGATTTTTTTTATAGATATTTACATTTTTTATAACCTATATTTTAAGTTTTTTTAAGATCTATATATTCAGTTTTTAATATCATCAAATATATACTTTTAAATTAGATTTAATATACAAATATATCACTTATCTTGGTCAATAATTAATTTTGACATTTAAAATGACCAAACTATTTTTACGAGAAATAGAGAAATAAAACAAACTTTCCAATATTACAAAAAATGAAAATTAAAAACACAAAAAAAAAAGAACCACTTCATTTTTTTTAGTTTTTTCTTTTTCCATTTTTATTTAAGGGTATTTTAGGTATTTTATGCTTAAAATCGAAGATTGATTATGAAAAGGTATAAATTTAAGTATTAAATCTAATTTAAAGGTATACATTTGATGAGATCAAAAATTAAGGTATAGTTTTTGAATAAACCTAAAACATAGGGTATAAAAATGTAAATATCCTTTTTTTAAGTTGAATTTTGTGTGCTAGAAAAAATGGTTCTTATAATTTTATATTTACTTGATACAATTTAATTGATAAATCTGAGTAAATCATATATTAATAACTAAATTGATTAAATAACCAATCTTATATTTATTGAAGAATTTTTGGACTCGTTTAGTTCTCTAATTTGAGTTTTTAATTTGAGTTGAGATGTGATTTTATGTTAGAGTTTTTTACTATAATAAAAAAGTTAGATGTGACTATTTCTGAGAGTTTTTTACTTAATAAAACTCGAATTGGTGAAATGAACGGGGTTTTATTTTTATTATTGGTAAATACATTATTCGATAATTGGGCTGGGTTTGCATTTTCTGGGCCTATTGAGTGTATGTTGGGAAGCCCACTATCAGAGAAGTCTCGAGACCCTTCCAGACTACCCAAGAAAACCAAAGAGTTCGCTAACGTACGCCGGCCCCAAACCCAAAACGACAACAAAAGTTCTTTTTAACTTCTTGTGTGTATGCCAATCGCACTTGAAAACGAGAATTCACGCTTCCAAAGTCGGTCCTCAATAGATCGCCCACGTGGCGTATTAAAAGGAACACTACACGAAACCCTGCACTCTCTTACACCCAATTGGAACTTCCACTAACATGCGCCGGAGGCTGCAAGTCTATATCCCTTTGGCCGGCACATTGTAAAGTTTTTCCTCTTTCAAATCCGTAGTTAAAAAAAAAAAAAGAAAAGAAAATCCTAATTTCCTGTTCTGGAAACCCTAATTTGCGCGTTTCGGGGACGTACAAGGCATTCAATTTCACATTTTTGGGCACTCGAATTGCCTAATTTCGTGTTTCGGCAAGGTATTTTCCGATCAGTGTATTATTTCGATTCAATTCGAGTTCGCAATTTATTCTGTGAAATCGATACATGTAAAAACAATGGTTTCATCTTTTTTTCTAACTCTCTTCTCAGAGTTTATTCAAATATTGACGCGAATTCGGATAATTTCAACAAGGAAATAGTTACTAGAGTTCCGGTAAAGTCCCCCATGGGTGAATGCAACATGGAGGAGATGTCTCTCCCAGCTCTGTTCGAGCAAGCTCGGAAGATCCATCTATCGGTCTCGGAATCTGGTGCAGTTGATCAGGTACAGCTAATCTTGTATCTGAGTTCTCGTTTTGCTTGGGATGTTCGTGGAGTTTCCGATTAGGTTTTAGAATTTGGGATTGAATAATGGTTTTTGGTTCAGGAGGCGGTGAGGAAGGGTTGCGAGGCTCTTGGAAAGTGCGAAGAAATGATAAGCAAGCTGGGGTTGTTCTCCGCCAATGAGACCAAGGATGATATCAGCACCACTAATCTAAAATACCTTCTGGTAATTTCTATTTTGAGTTACATTGTTTGTATCTTTGGAAGTTATATGGTTCTTTGTCAGGTTTTTTTTTTTTTTTTTCCATGTTATTGTAAGTTTTCCTTCTGGGAAAGTGCTGCAAAAGGGAAGAAAATAAGTTGTTTGATTGTGGAGGAAGATATTGTAAGAAGAAGGGAAATTTACTGGAACAGGAATGCTATTCCAGATGTTAGTTTTTCTTGCTTATATAAGGATATGGCTTCATTTGCATGGAAGCTATTGCCGTGGAAAGCTTTTCGTTACAAGAATCTGTCTTTCTAATGAGTTATGTATTTCAGGAGAATTGTGTCTCCAAAGTAGTATCTAAGACGACTCTTATGTACTGGCAGCTACTTATGGCATTCTTATTATAGGTTCCATTTTATCTTGGCGAGTTGACTGAAAAAATTGTACGAGATGACAGGATACATATTCTCAAGGCTTCCCAAGCAAAGCTAAAGGTGAATTGTTCACTTCTTAAACACATTTTATAGTCGCTCATCAGTCACACTTCATCCAGCATTTTGACTTTTTTCACCTTATAATATCGCTTTCAGATTGCTTTTATTCTTACTATTTGTTTGATTTTTTTTGGCGTGCTTCTACTATAACTAAGTGAGATGGTTAATGTTCTAGGCATTCATCTCATTTTGCGAGTCAATGGAACTCTTACCAGAGGAGGAACTAGAAGCATCTACACGAGGGGGTTCAGATTCTTTTGTTTATCGAAGGGCCAGAAAGGTGGTTTCTTTGCTTTTTTTTATTTAAAAAAATGTTTTTTTGAACGCTTAAATTTCAGTACCATGACAAAACTTCCCAACTGTGCAAGCCTTGCTTGATTGTGTCATTAACTTGTTAATTTTGCATTAGTCCCTTTTCTAGTGGTTAAGGGGAATAGAGATTAGAGACTTCTTATCATGATGAGTTGTTTGTATGACCCATCTTCATTCCGTATCTAGATTGCTCGCTTCAAACGTCAAAGAGCTGCTGAATCAAAGTTGCTGGAAATTAAGGAGCGGAAAGAACGACGAGGGCGATCAGCTAAAGCTGCCACCTTATCCACTCCTGTTGAGGCAGGGGAGGAAGATGTGCTCGATGATGATGGGGAAGAAGAGCGAGAGGTTAGCTGATTTCTCCCTATGTCAGTCTAGGGCAGTGCTACTCGCATTATGTATCTATTACTTCGCTGTTTTGACTGAAATTATAATTTTCTTGTTGGTGCAGGCCTGGTTTACTACCATCTCTTTGGCTATCTGCAAGGTTGGTTCACAGGAATATTTAATATTCCTGATTTTTAAGCCTTTTTTATTTCAAATTTATTACCTTTACTTTTACATCCCGCTGTGTATCTTAGTTTCTTTCTGTCACCAAACCATGTGTCAGGCTATGGATTTGCTGGAAATGCTAAAGAAGGAGGAGGAGATTCTGTCAGCTATAAAAGAAAAACAGTCGAAGGTAAATACGTTACTCTGAGAATGCTGATTATTTTTATTGCATTGATTCACCATTTAGAATTTCATTTTAGGTGATAAGATATGGTGTAACTGTAATGAATATTGTAGGTGGTTTATTGAATTCCAATACAAGGGCGTAACCTACTCTTACTAGCATGCACAATTTATTTAATTAACTCTGATACGAGCTTGTTATATTTTGAGACCAACTTTTCACTGATAGATTTTTTGATGTATCACAAATGTAAGTTGTCTTTTTAATTTTCCTTCTCATCTTTTTTCCCGTTTCACTTTCTGTCGACCCTCTTAAGAAATCTAGACTTGAATTTCCTGTTAAGCAGAGCCTACCCAGAATATTAGTTGGTTACTTGCCCATAATTGTACAGACGGATGGCTGAGAGCTTTTCTTGTTGTCTTGTTCTTCAGGAGGGGGACAAGGAGTTCTTTCTGGATCTTCTTGATGATCGAACCAAGAAAGCAGAAGCTTGGCATCGTGATGCTGCAGTCCGAGCACAGTATACAAAACCCGCACGGCCTATTACGTGTGCTGCTTTTGCACAAGATGTTCTAGAAGGAAGAGCAAAGGTCTCACAAGCACATGAACACAAACACCAGCCATTGATATTTGGACCTCAGAGTCTTGTGGGTGGAAGGTTAACAAGCGAGAGAGAAAGGATGGCGGCACAGGTTTTCCAACCTGGTTTTAGGTAAATTTTTCTGGCCCGATTTATACAGTATGTCCAATGGTGTTATGTCATCTACGATTAAGAATATGTGCGTGGCATAAAAGCATGTGTTGTACAGTTAGGATTTGCTTTGTTATTTTAGACATCTTTCTCAAAATGCTAATACTTGTTGAAGGTTGCCAACCATGAGCATAGAGGAAGCTGGGTTAAAAGAGATGAATATGATGAACAAGTGGCAAGAGAGGAATGCTAAACTTATGGAAGAAGCCAATTCTGCATGGTACAAGGACAGTAAGAAACCTGGGCCGAGCAACGCGGACGAGGATGATGAAGACGATGATGCTGCCCAAGAAAAGGCAAGGGCATGGGATGACTGGAAGGATGACAATCCCCGGGGTGCAGGCAACAAGAAGCTCACTCCTTGTGGTTAAATTGACAATGAGACTATTATCATCTGTTCTTAACGGGGAATCAGTTGTGAGAAACCCTCTCTCTCTTTTTTTGTTTTGTTGATGGGTAAATTACAAATTTTTGTAATACTGTGGTTTCTCTCCATATGTTTGTTCGATCCAACTATTGAATAATAACTTGAAAGTTAATTGAAAAATGAATTACTTAATCCAACTCTTTGTCGTTTTCAAATTCCAGGGTGGGGAGCTTATTTTATAATAAGGGCTTATTTTGGCTCCTTTTTTGTGAACAAAATTGAATGTTTTTACCCTCCCGAGGCCAACAATCTTCTGAAGATGCGAAAAATTGTTGAAAGCTATCAGTCATGAAAAGCTATGCCTGCATTCTCCAATATTATCAGACACTGGATCTACCTTGTTACTGAAAATCTCCTCACTGTCGCAATCTATATTATATATATATATATATAGATATATATATTAATGCTTTGCTTAGGGAGGGAGAAACTGAGAATCAAATCAATATTATCTTTGAGATCATTAACACCCTTCATTCTTCAACAGCAATTAATCAACGGTGTCCAACTCTCTATACATTAATTTCCCTGTTCAGAGATGACCCTTTTCTTTTTTTCTTTAAAAAAAGCTTTTTGACTTCCATCGAATGGGACTAGCCAATTTCACTTGAATTGTTGGTTATTTATCTCTTATCGGTCATAAACTTTGCTGGTACGGCATAAATGGGAAGAAAAATATATAGTCAATGAAAACAAGTAACGATTCTTCAAGCAAAAAAAAAAAAAAAAGTAACAATTCATACAACCAGGAGCCAAGTCGATGAAGCAATTACAGCATCAACTCTCCCAGGAAAAAAAAAGAAAAAAAAAAAGAAAAAGAAATACAAATCAACTGAAACAAAGTGAAGAGAACACAACTTGATGAGTTACAGGAGTGGTTTTTATGACTTGTTCCAAGACCCATGCTTTTTTGTTTTGCCCCAAAAGAACTTATATTATATTCATCACCATCGCTTATTTACACGCATCTCTTAAATTCTTACGTCGTATAATTGGTACAAAAAACGACATCAAGAACGTATTCCAGAATGAGAATCCTTTCATCTTCGTCGGATTCAACTCTCGATGCATTTGAAGCCTCTGCAAACCCACAGCCATATCCCAAACAGAATCGCGCAGACGAACAAATCCAACAACAAAACCACCCAAACATGCTTTCTCCATACCTGCTTCGCCTTTTGCCGATCTCCGGCGTATGGAGAGATGTTCTTCTGCATCGACGACACAAAATCTCTGTTGATATCGTCGTACACATCCACCGCGTTCTCCATGGTTGAATCTTTTCCGAGATCTCCATTGGCTTCTCCGGACAATCTCTTCTTCTTCTTCTTCAATCCATTGCAGAGTTTCACCCCAAGCAACGGCCTGAAGGCCATGCTTTGACCTCTTGAACCGTCCAAGCTCGGATTTTGGCTGACGTTCGATAAACTAGGCGTGGAATTCACCGAGTTCGAGTCCAACGCCATGATTTCCCTCACAATTGAATCAAATTCGGGTTGGAAGCTATGGTAGACGAAATTCTCCGAGCGTCTCTTCGAGCCGCCTCTCGCGGTCTCTTCGAAAGCGGATTTGACGCGGTTCAAGAACCAGAGGCACTCCGATTGCTCTAGGTCTTGGTCTGTGATCGCGAAGTAGACGGAAACATCGTCGATCAAGAAGGTGTAGGTTCTTCCCCTGACCGTGTGACAGAACATGGAGTGGTATGGAGGAGTCTTCTCGATGCATCGCCGAGCCAAGTCTTCGAGATCGGGATGTCTGGCGAATTCGGCGAGGATTGTGGCCTTTCTGGCAATGCAAGCGTAGTGGATCAGATCTGGATTCGAAATCATCGGTGCCGCGATCGGAGAAAAACAAGCTCGACTTGGAATTCATACGCTGGATCTAGAATTCATCTCGGAGATGAAATTTTTCGATCACAAACTGGTCGGAAAAGAACTCGAAACATGAATCTGAGCTCCAACTCAAGATTTCCGATTCCAGAATTGAATTTCTCTGGGGAAAATAACAAATCTTGAATCTCTTGTGTGCCTTTTCTCTCTCTACAGAAAACAAACTCTCTCTCTCATTCTCTCTAGATAATCAATTCGCCATGCTTTCATTCTAGGGTTTGCATTAAAGTGTGTTGGAATATTTATTGATTAGAGAAAAGGAATTTTGAAGTTCATTGGGTGAGAAGAAACCGACGGAAAAAGAAGTTCCGGAAAAGAAAAGTATAAAAAAGAATATCTTATCTTTACATGAATTGAAATAGCCCTTGTCCCGTACCTTATTTTACTTTAATGGCATGTTTCCTTATTAAGAGTGGCAAATGAGAATTAATAATTGAAATTAATCCTATATATATTTATTTATTTTTATTTTAGAATAAGAGTGAGAATGTGTAAGTCTCTCATTAATTTAAGGTTGAAAAATAAGATTGGTACTCTCCACACTTATCACTAAATTGGCACTAAATGTGAATTACTATTTTACTTTTAATTTTATTAACAAATTAGATAATCTTTATTGATGTGCTTTCTATGGCTGATAAGGATTTAGATAGATTACAAGCCAACGTGTATCAATAAGGGGTTGTTTGGTTGGAGAATTTATACCCCGATTCGAATCATGGTTCATGGTTCGCTATCGCTACAGTGTTTTCTCTCACAAAAAATACATGTAAATCGAAAATAGTTCTAATATTATGATTCGAATCCATGAACCAAACGTTTCCTAAATGATGAAAATTGATGCTTAGATGATGATCAACTATATGATGCCACTAATATTTTGACAACGAAGCATGATTTACTAACGTGTATTCTACAACATTTCGGATCAACTCAAGAATTGATACATTCTTAAAATTCTTAATTGTAGGGTTTAAGTGTTCTTATTTTATATCATCATTATATTTGTTTCTTTAAATTATTTCAAAATTTATGGAGAAAAAATAATTTAGATGATTAATTAGATGTGATTAAAAAAATCTAATAACTAATTAGTTATTCTAATATTAAGATAATTAACATCATATACAATTTTTTTTTTAGAGTTCAACACACGAAAATCTATTAAAATGATAGGTAAGTAAATTTGTAACAGTTTATTTTGATTCGGGTGTAAGTAAATGCATGAATGAGATTGAGACTGATTTCAATTCTGATTCCTTGATGTGCACTCATATTCATGTTCACTCTGGTTACGGATAAGTAAACATGCCATAAATAGTTCGATCGGTGAGGGTTCATATTAAAAAAATTTCAACATAGAATGTAAAATTGTCTCAAATATATAACCGTTAAAAAATTAATTTAACAGTTAAAATAATAAATTCTATAAATAGAATTAAATAACAATTCTCACCGTAAAATTCCTTTTTATACATTTTCAGTGCACCTTTTTTTCAATAGTGACATAACCTTTGGATCTCTAGTAATGTGAGCAAATAGAAATTCTCATGTCAAGTACTTAATGCAGCAAGTGGAACTTGTCGTATTTTGTCAATTATTACTCGATAAGGAAGCATTTATGACTATGTTCCCCAATCAGATCTAAAATATTATATATATATATGTATATATATATATTTCCTTTTTAGGTGGGCACATTGAAAGCCATTATTTTGAAAAAGAAATCTGTGTGAAAAATGAAAACGACACATGTAAAGTCAAATCCGTTTAAATATGTTATTTTATTCGGTAGGGAAAAAATATGTAATTTTATTCTGTGAAAGGGAGTGAACACTCGCCACTAGGTATATAACAGATTGGGATGGTAAAGCACGCGTTATTATTGGATCCAAAAATGTCTCTGGAGCTGCGCCAGGTGCCCCTATCAGTATAACTTCTATTATTATTATTATTATTATTAACCTCTTTTTGTTTATATTTTTTTTTTTTGCTGATAAAAGTGCAACTTCTATTTAAATAGGGTTTGTTTCAAAAACACCCTCCAAGAATTCGAGTACGAAAAAATAGTCTAGGAATGTGACATTTAAGTTGTCCTAATTGTTATACAATATATAATCTGATTTGATTATCTGATCATTAAATACTATATATTTAAGTTTATATTTCGTTTAGTTCGTTAATTCAAATTTAACGAAATACAGTAGAACAGAGCGTTAACAATAATGATAATCAATTTTACCAATACTCTGAGAGCAACGAACGTCTATTTTAATTATAGATACTTCTCGTGAATTTGCTAAGCTAGAGAAAGAAATAGAGACTAGCATGTAATGCTACTTCTGAACGAACTTTTTTTTCCGGGGGATATTTGTGTATTGTTTAAATCATCTTTATGATCGGTTCTTGTACAACTTGTTTCATAATCTCTACTATACCATGTTCATTGGTTCTTTAGATTCTACTGACGGTTTTTTTATTTAATGTATAACGATAGAGAAATTTTACTATGAGCATGATAAAATAATTGAATTGTTACAGTGCAGGAATTTTTGAAATAACCACGCGATAATTTTAGTAATGACCATAATTAATTTTCTGAATAAAAATTGCTTAAGTTATTTACTAAGTAGGGTGTTTTTTCTTCTAAAGATTCTATGGGTGGCTATTTCATTTGTTATATTAATGGCAAATAAATCCTACTACCAAGACAAAGTAATTGAATTGTTACACTATGATAATTTTTAAAATGACCACACGGTAATTTTTATAATGATCATAATTAATTTTTTAAATAAAAATTGTCTAAATTATTCACTAAGCAACTTTTTTCTTTATTTTTAAATTCTACGGTTGGTTTTTTCATTTGTTATATAAACAATAAAGAAATCCTACTACCAGCATGATTAAATAATTGAATTGTTACACTACAATAATTTCTTAAATGACCATGCGGTAATTTCTGTAATGAACATAATCATTTTTTTAAATAAAAATTACTTATTGTATTTACTAAGCAACTTTTTTTTAGATTCTACGGGTGGTTTTTATTTATTTATTATATAAATGGTAAAGAAATCTTACTACTAACAAGATAAAATAATTAAATTGATATACTGTGTAATTTTTTAAATGACTACTCTGTAATTCTTATAATAATCATAATTAATTTTTTGAATAAAAATAACTTATAATTTAATAAATAAACAACTTTTTTTGAGCCACCATAGCAACATATTTGTCTTTTATAATTCTTTTAAAACCGAATTCAAAAGAAGAAAAAACAAACAAAACATAAAAAAATACTCCTATTAAAAGTTTAAAATATCAAAATGCAAAGAGAAATGCGTAACCAACATTTAAAAAAATCCTGGAAAATCATACAAAGTCCATATTTTTATGAAGCTGAGAAGGTCTCGTTAATCCTTGTAAACCCTCTTTATCAATGGCTGCTTCACTATTAACAACAACACCACCACCATTGCCATCAAAACTCGTTCTTTCAAAAACCCATCTGAGAATTCTCTCTGTTCTTTGCGTCGCCCTTGGTGAATTTTGGGGATTTTTGGAAAAGGTTTCAGAGTTTGGGAAAATGAAAGAGGGAGAAAGGAAAAGGAGAGGCGGCAGAGAAGAGGAAAGAGAGAAGAAAGGGAAGAAAATTGTCTAGAAAGTGAGAGAGAGAGAGAGAGAAAAAGTGGAAGAAGTTGAAATGAACAGAGAGAAAGTGATGGAGAGAAAAAAGTGGGACTTCAAAATAAGAAAGAAATTAAGAATGGGAAGCTGAAAATTTTCATTAGATTTTGATAAGCCTAATTTTGATAATTTAATTTAATAGGACTCTCAAATGTAGTAGCGTTAAAAATAAAAATATATAAAAAAAATGGTGCTAATTATAAGATAATTGTTTAATTGATGGTAATTTTGTAAATAATCCGTAAAATTATCCATTATCTTTATACGTTTGTTTCATTGTTAGTATGTTTTGATCTTAAAATGGAGTGACCATCGTCATGACATTAAATCGTACCAAAAAAAATGGAATATGTTGATTTTTTTTAAGTAAATATCTAACTACACTCCTTTAGAAGGAATTTAAGAAGCAAAGGGTAGTTCCTAACTTGCTTCATAAACTATGTTGGAGAATAACTAACATTTTATCATGGTTATTACCAAGGAAAAGCAATGACGGAGGGCCAAGGGGAGCAGTGGGTGGCCATGGCCCCCCGAGTAAAGGCTAAATATTTTTTTAATGTATATCATTTATTTTATCGATTTAAATTTAAAATTTGAGTTTTATTATAGTAAAAAATGATCAGAAACAGTCACATATAATTTTTTTTACTATAATAAAAAGTTTTCACATAAAATCAGATATCAACTCAAATTAATGAACTAAACAGGCTTTAAAAGTTGCTTAGTTGGCCCATTTCTTTTGTGATAAGTGTCAATTCCTTTTTCTTAAACAACTCACTTAATAACAACTCACTTTTTTCATGTTTATTTGCAAGAGTGTCATCCTCAGATATAATCCCTCATTACCCGTGTATTACTTTGAATATGCACTTCTAATTTACGAAAAGGCCATCTTTCCGTTTTCTCCAAATCTGAACGACTTTCTGTGTTCCAATAGGGGAGAAAAATAAGAGAATGAGAAAAAAAAAAAAAAAAAAAAAACATTGCGTAAAGAAAAATAAAAGAAAAGCAAGAAATTCCTTACTCCATGAGTTACTAGAAAATTTTGTCTTGGATTTCGGTTAACAAAGAGGTACAAGAAGATCAATATATCACTCTTGTATTATTAAGGTGACGTTTAGTTCATCTATTTAGAATTATAGTTTATGATTCTAATTTTTAAAATTTAAATTTTTTGTGAAAGAAAAACATTGTAGCGAACCAAGAACTCTATGATCCAGAATCAAGTCAGAACTCTCAAAACAAACGGAGCATAAGATTAACACTTTAATTTCAGGTTCTTCCTTGTATTATTCTTATTTCTAATTTTCTAATTGTATATGACTGAGAGTGACATGTTTTCCTATTTAGATATAATATTAATGTTTTCATATGTTAATATGTCATAAATATAAAAAACATAAACTGTCACATATATAGATGAAAGTACAATCCTAACAAAAAAATTTGGGTCCCTCCTGCCAATAAATCCTCATTGAGAAAAAGGATTGCTTAATGGAGCAAATTCTCTAAATAACATTTTAAGAGTTTTTATAATAGGCCAATCCGACTGGTAGTTTCAATTTTTTACTGTTAAATCAAGTTAAAAAAAATATATACAAAATAAATAATTTATATTATAAATTTAACGACTGAAAATAAAAAACTATCCCTAATTCATTTTTTCTGGTCAGGAAGCTCTCACAACATTTATGTTTGGGAAAGAAACAGATCACGGAGAGAATATTCCTTTCAAGCAACGTATGAAATGTTCGACTAATCGACATGTATGTTTACTTTCAAATTAAGGAAACTCCATATTCTAACGTGTGACCCATAAGCACGTTACGTCACCAAGTTTCGGGACAAAAATCCAAACTTTGAGGCTAACATTTACAAGATCCGGTTAAAGGCTACATAAGCATAGGTTGCGCAGGGTCTATCCAAATAGAAATCTGGAGAAAGAAACATAATCCATCTTACATCAACAAATAGATTCTAAATAAAATATATAGGGTGCGTTTGAAATTAGTTCCAAAATATTTTTATTTTTTATATGAAAATAAAAATAAAAACATTTTTATTTTCATTTTGAAATCATTTTTAAAAATGTGTTTGATAGTTTTATTCAGAGATTGATTTCAGTTTTAAAAAAAACTGAAACTGCGTTTGATAGTTTAATTTTTAAAAACATGTAATAATATATTAAATAAATAATATTATTAAATATATTAAATAA